ACGTAAGAGGTGGCTCTTCATCTAAGCCCTAAAGTTGAACCACCTACTTCATAGGGCTCATGAGAGGAAAGTGCTTTGTAAACCTTAAAAGTACTAAAGAAATGTGAATTCGTATTAACAACAATAATATTTGCCCTCTTAAGCACCCTCTTCAGTGCAATCATCTCGCCTGCTGATCTTTGCTGGTTGAGATGCCCGAAACATCTTAGGGTTCAAACAGGAACAGGCTTTCTCCGTTTAGTTCTGAGCTGGCACAAATCCCTGCAGACTGGGGAGTCTCTCGCCTCCCCCAACCCTCCCAATCCCCCTCCCCCACTCCCCACCGTCCCAGAGGACTCTTTACATTCCCCAGATGAAAGACTCTCTCCTCCCCCGCCGCCACACCTGCCTGAGGGGAGCTGTGGTTCTCCGCAGCTCAGAAGATGGAGTCTCTAGGAGATTCCCTGGGGGTTTTGCCCGGACGCCCCGTCGTCATGCTCTCACTGCCCCTCAATGATGGTCTTGATGTTCTCGTTTTCCAGGCTGTTAATTCCGGAGCTCAGCCCGCCAGAGCCGACTCTGTGAGCCCGAGATAAGCTCAGCCTCTTTAACCCTATTCATTCCATTTAAATAGGTTGCTCCCAGACCGGCCGCAAACAATTAACCCTCTGCGTGCCACTTGTCAACAGAAGGTGACCTCCCTGCACCAGATTTGTTCCTATGCTGGGGACTAAAATGCCTGGGGGGTGGCGGAGGGAAATGGTGAGTTTGGGTTGTCGGTGCAGGATTGCAAACAGACTCTGGTCATGATGCACAATCAGGAAAGGTGAATATTTAATCTGAACAAAGTGTAGGTGTCCCTTGTGTAACACTCTTAGTCTTCTCCCTGCTCCTCCTCCGCGGCCTCATTGACTCACCTCTGCCTCTGAGTCTCTGCTGTGAGAAGCCAGAGGTGCACACAATTCGTACCCATGCCTCTCTATCCCGTGGCCCTTGACCCTCTTGCTCAGTAAGCCTTGTGTGGACTTGGGGTGGATCCTGAATTCCTAAAATCTCAGAGTCATAAGGGACCCCACCACAACATCCAATCCATAACTTCCCATAGCCAACATCCTGGACAAGCGGTCATTCAGCTTCTGTTGGGAGAACCCATCGTGACCTTAGTGAGCAGAGCAGAGCTGGATAGGTACCCTGGGCTTGGAATCCATCGCTTCCCGTTCTCAGTGCCTAGACGGCCTTGCACAGGTACTCAGGGGATCGTAGCATCTGAGCAAAGACTTGCGAAAGTGGATTTTCTGTTTCAGCCTCTTCTTTTTCACTTACCTCTTCTTCTCACTCTTTTTTTATTCGTTCCGTTTTCTTCTTTCCTTTGTTCTCTCCTCCCATTCTCCTTTTTCTATTGTTTTCATTAACATTCTCACACACACAAAAACCATCACATGTGCAATTCACAAGCAATGACCTATTCACTCTCACTCTGAGCTGCGGCACTCATTTTTGCTGACATTCTCACTTTCATACTGACACTTGCGTGCACACCTATAAAGAGAGAATTGGATTTCAAGTGTCTTTTGACACAATTGTAAGATCCCTAAGAACACGGGGACCATCTCTTAATCATCTCTATTTCCTGCAGCGACAAGCAAGAGGAGAAACACATATTTAATTTGCTTAATAAATGTTTGTTGAATGAATGAAGGACCCACCCACCCCAAATACCCATATCCTCCACCTCTGTTCTCCCCCTCTCCTGCTCAGCTTCAGAGTCCAGATCGGTAAGGTGAGTGAGAGGGACAAGTGCAGGAAGGAGAAAACCATTAGAGAAGCCTTGAGAGGAGAGGTAGGAGCTTGTGGAATTCAGTTAAATCCACACACTAATGAATCCACAAACACATGCAAATAGTTGATTAATTTGTTAGAGATAAGCACCATCCAGGAATATGTTAAAATGAGAAGGCTCCCACAAAGAAGGAATCTAAACACAACCCAGTATTCTGAGAGAATTTTATTAAGAAAGTTTTTTGCAGGATGGGTCTCCATATAGCCTCCTATACATATATATTTGTAAATTGTCTCCAGGGACTTCGTATGGAAGTCTGTGGCAGAGTTTCTGTTTGAGACTGGAAGTGATAGGGGTCTCTGTGAGAGTGGTGGATGGGTTGGGAGGCGTCTATGTGGAGAGATCTCCACGTATGTGTGTCTACAGTGGATTTCTATGTGTTTTTCTGTGTATAGTCTCTCTCAGTGGTTTGTGTGTGTAAGGACTGTGAGTGTGATAGCGTGGGTGATTATGTGGGTGAATCTTGGGTGGAGGAGAGACTGTTTTCCTTAAGGCTCTCTGTCCTGAGCTGGGAATGCTCCAGGTGTTCTAGTGCTGTTGGTGACCTCTTTGCCCATGGACTAGAGCTAATTCCTTATGCTGCCTGAGGGGAAAGGAGAGCCCTCTAGCCTCTTTCCACTCCAGCTGGGCCCCTTTCTAGAAAGATCTCAAAGTGCAGGGCTAGTAAAGGGTGTAGGAGGAATTCCCAAAGAGAAATTGGTCCCTAGGGAGCAACACAGTATCACCCCCACCTTCACCCCTTTTCAGTGAATAATCTCAGTTTTGGCAGGGTAGGGTGGAAGGCGGGCTGCGATAGCTGGGCTTGTTGGGTTTGGGGATAAGGCTTTGGGTCAGAGGGACTTGGGGAGGGAAACTGGGCCATACACCATCACCCTCCATGATCACAATATATTCATGCAGAGATGCTAGCATGCACATACGGATAAATGCACCCTCCCAGAATCTACTTGCACACACAGTCGCAAATGCATGCATACAGAGACTTATAAATGCTTACAAATACACTCCCACCCCAGACACTGGAACACAGGCACTCACAGATAGGGGCACACACAGTGATACAGACATGTACACCCTCAGGGGAACACAAGAATGATCACTCGTAAACATACATGCTTTCAGCTTCCCTCTCCTTTCCCTCAGCCTGCCTCCCTCAACAAACTCTAGGCTCAGACCCTCAGCTCAGGCCTTCGGTGATATAGAGAGGTTGTGATCCTTGCAGTAGCTCAGACAGGTTCAATGTAATCTTTGCTTTACTGAGCTCTAATCCCGTTGGTTCCAAATAATTCTTTCCCCTCAGTTTCAGGGTGTAGGGGGCCTATCTATATCCGTAAGTGAAAGCAGAGAGTTGACTTAATATCTTCATTTTTGACACCTGAACCTCCCTCAGTCTTCCCCACCCCAAGAGATCAGAAAACATTTTGCCTGAAAGATCCAGGTATTTTGGAGAAAATGGTTTATGTCTGAATTGTTGGGTTGGGGTCTGAATAACTACTTTCCTAACCGCCCTTTGCGGCTGTAAGAACAGTTTCCAAGACAGGGCACACACTTCCAGGGGGGCGGTCTTCCCTAAAATAACTTTATGCCGAATTCTTCCATTCTGCGCTGTCAGCCTTTATAGGCTTCTACTGGGACTTCTCCAACTCGAGCTCTTCTCCTTCTTGGTCTCTTCCCATGAGTCCCCCATCCCAGGACTCTTTGTTGATTGCGCTGACCCACACAGGCATATACACACACACACAGACTAAGGTGGAGACGCACAGATATGGGAGATACGAAGTAGGCATGTACGGAGCAGGAAGGGGATTTGGAGTCTGTGCTGCCTCAGGGCTGGAAGTGTGTCCAAGCCGGGGATTGGGGAGGGGCATGTTCCCAACCTTCAGTCTTCACTGCTGCTTCTGGAAATAGATCTCACTTTAAATCCTCTGTCCAAAAGGGCGAGAAGCATCTAGGCCTGAGACCTGAACCATTATCCTCATTGGACAGAGACCTCAGACAGAAACCCACTACACATACATCCTGATCCTTCAATTCTAGACACCCCAATCTCTTCTCCCCCATTGAAATAAATAACCCAGACTTCTGACAGAGATTGAGGCAAGGAGCTATGCACTTTCTCGTGTGTGTGCCCAGGTGTGTATCTGTGTGTGTGTGTCTGTGATTGAGAGACAGACAGATAAAGAGACACAGAGGGAAACAGAGGCAGAAGAGAGAAGAGTGAAGAGTGACGGATGTTTCTTTTCCTCTTGGATCTTTCAGGCCCGATTCTTGCGCACTTCTTTGAGGCCACTCTGAAGCTCCAGGGCTTCCCGATTTGGTTCAGGGGCTAATCAGAAAAGGTTGAGCATTAGAGACTTGGGAGGAACCAAAATACTCAAACCCGTCACCATTCTGGGGTCTGTCAATGGTAGGAAGGGCTAAGGGCTCGGCTAAGGCACGGAAGAACCTCCCCCAGAAATGCAGCACTTTCTCTCTGCTCCACCCCCTCCCCACTTCTTTCCTCTAGTCTCCTCCTCTCTTCTTCCCCACCTTTCGTCTTCTCCTTTTCTCCCAACTCCTTTTCTCCTTTCCTCCTATTTTCTCTTCTCCATTCCCCTATCTCCCTCTTTCCTTCTTCTGACTCCTCTCCTCTTGTCTCCTTTCCTTTCCTCTCCTCTCTTTTCACTCTCTTTCCTTTCTCTTCCTCTTTTCTCCTCCCTCCCCTCCCTTCTTCTCTCTTTCTCCCTCCTACTCCCCTCTCCCCCCTCCCGCCTCCTTTGGATTTTTTTCTCCCGTTTGACAGATGATCGCATTGGGCCGCGGACGCGGAGTGCGCCGCGCCAGGCTTGCGTTGGAGATCTGACGCTGCTGTTCGTGCTCCCCCATCCCCTCCCGCGCCCCTTCGGCTTCTCTGCAGTGCACTAGCACCGCCGCTGCTGACGGCGCCGCCTCCCTCCGGTCTCTACCAGTCCGCCCGCCCAGGCCTGGCCCCCAGACCCGCCACCTCCTGATCTCCAAGCGCAGAAAGAGGTCATGATCCAGGGTGCCAGTGGGTGGAGAAGGAAGAACGTGGGGGGAAAGTGGAGATAGCGGTTTCACCAGCCATCGCTAAAGCCCTTGCATAGCTTGCGCCCGGAGGCTGCCCGGGTGACCTCCAGCCTCCTTAGCTGTCCGTGGAGTGGGTCGGGCCCAAGTTGCAGCCATGGCCACCTTGATTCGCAGCAAACTGTCCAATGTGGCCACCTCTGTGTCCAACAAATCCCAGGCCAAGGTGAGTGGTATGTTCGCCAGGATGGGCTTCCAGGCGGCCACTGACGAGGAGGCTGTGGGCTTTGCCCATTGCGATGATCTGGACCTGGAGCATCGGCAGGGACTGCAGATGGACATCCTAAAGTCGGAGCCCAGTGAGGAGGGTGCTGAACCGCCCGTCGAGGGTGACTTCCACTACCAGAGGGACGGCTCTGGGCCCCTGCCACCCTCGGGCTCCAAGGAACAGGGCATGTGCTCTGAATTCGGGGGTGGCCAAGACAAGCCCAAGATCACTGCCTGGGAAGCAGGCTGGAATGTGACCAACGCCATCCAGGTAAGCGCCACCCTCCCTCCCCTCAAGGGACACTGCGGCGGGTGGCTGAGACAGAGAAGCACTTACTACTTGGGGGGAGGAACACGTACACACAGAGAAAGCGGGGCAGAGGGGGAAGCAGAGACAGAAACAAGAGTAGATGAAAGGACGTAGAGATAGATACAGAAACAGAGGCGGTGAGAAAGAGAGAGAAATAGATACACAAGTTTTGACATAAGGGCAAACAAAATGAGGCACAGCATCAGGGAGGCTGTGACACATACATGGACAAGGACAGAGACAAAATGACAGACAGAGGGCCCACAGAGTCTGAGAGAGAAAGAGGCAGATATGTTAGAGGTAAAAGGGGCACAGAGGCAGAGACATATAGGAAAAGAGAGACAGAGACGCAGATCTAGAGAGATTCAAAAAGAGGTAGAGACAAAGACAGAGATGGAGGACCCTGCAAACAGGCACAGTCTATCAAGAAGGTTAGAAACAGACAGACTGAAAAAGAAACAGGCAGATCCAGAGACATAATAAGCAAGATCCAGAGACTGAACCTAGGAGGATGGGGAGAGAAAGAGAGGCAAAAGGAGAGAAAACGATATGGAGGGAAGCTGCGAGAGACAGAAGGGAGAGAGAGAGAAAACAAGGATGAGAAATTACGGGATTGTCAATGGTTCTGGAATGGATCCACTTTCAGGGCAAAACTGCAAGAGAAATATCTGACCTAGGAGCTCTTTTCAATCTCCCCTCTCGGCAACCTACTCCACAATCCCTGGTTGCCTCCGCTTCTCCCACGCAGAGCTCGGAGAGCCATAGAGACCTGGATAGCACACAGGAGCCAAATAAAATCACAAACGGACATTAACACGCACTTGTCAGACATGGATCCTGGCCTACAGACAGAACCCCTGTGGGACAGATATCTCACGACAGACATAGATATGTGTGTGTACGTGTGTTGCACAGACAGATCTCTAGGAGAGACACGTCTGGTCAAACACAGACAGATTCCGCACACACGCGATCTCATACCAGCTTCGATTCCTGTTTTCTTTCAGTGTAAATCCCGGCTCCGACGTAAAACTGAGCAAAGGAGAGCGGCAAAGAGATTAAATATCTTCACAGAGTTGGAAAGGGAAAAGTCCCCTCTAAGGTTCTAGGATGTGAATTCGGAGTCCTGGGCCTTTAGGGGCGGGCTGGGGGCCTAGGGAAGAGAGGCGGGGGCTCAGAGAAGGGGCGGGGCAGGGAGCTTTCCAACAGCCTGCCCCAAGAGACCGAGGCCTCCCCTACCCTGCTGGTTCTGTTCTGGTATTCTCTATCCTGCCTTTCTCCCTATGGCTCTGTTAACAGGGACTAATTCTCCCAGAGTAGAAGACAGGTGCTGTCAGGTCTTTTAATGAATGTCCTGGTGAAAGCCTTTTCAATTACCATTCGAGAGTGGAGCTTGAGTCCTGGCAAAGCCTGTATTCAGGACCAGTGGACTCAAGAGGAGCGAATTGGTCGCGGTCGCGGCAACCAAGCGCCACTGACGCACCTCCCTTTACAGAGGACCTCTCCCTACTGAGAGGCCTCGTTATAGATTAGCCAGTACTCTTTCCTCTCGGTGCGCTGAGGCTGGCTGGCATCTAGAGAATCAGTCCTCACCACGTCTCTTTGACAGGCTTGGCTGCCCACTTCCCGCCAAAAGGTCGCGCAGCCCCAAGCCCGAGGCGGTTTCTGCTGTGGCTCACTTTAACGCTTCCTTCCCTAGTGGGAAAGGGAAAGGCTTTGAATTCGGAGTTGAGGACAAGGCTAGTTGTTCGGGGCGAGGGAGGAATAGGAGACGCACTATGAGAACGGCAAAACTCGAGAACCTTAGTTTCCCTCAATTTCGTTTCCTTCCTTTTCAAAATCCCGCAATTTCCGAAGCCCCGAGGCTAGAACTCCTCTGGGGAGAAGGGAGCTGGGCCGCTCCAGCTCTGATGACAATCTACTGTGCTAGACACACACACACACACACACACACACACACACACACACACACACACATTCCTTTTTCTCATCCTCCCCCTTCCCTCCCCTCTCTAGTCAAAGCTGAGCTCAGGCCCACCGAGCCATTTCGTTTCCGTTTTGTCTCTTGTAGGGGATGTTTGTCTTGGGCCTACCCTATGCCATTCTGCACGGAGGATATTTAGGACTGTTTTTAATTATTTTCGCCGCCGTGGTTTGCTGCTACACTGGCAAAATCCTCATCGCATGCCTCTACGAGGAAAATGAAGACGGGGAGATAGTCCGGGTGAGGGACTCCTATGTGGACATTGCCAATGCCTGCTGCTCTCCCAGGTTCCCCAAACTGGGAGGGAGGATAGTCAATGTGGCTCAGATTATCGAGTTGGTCATGACGTGCATCCTCTATGTAGTGGTCAGTGGCAATCTGATGTACAACAGCTTTCCCAGTTTGCCGGTCTCTCAGAAGTCCTGGTCTATCATTGCCACTGCGGCGCTATTGCCCTGCGCCTTTTTGAAAAATCTAAAAGCCGTCTCCAAATTCAGCTTGCTCTGCACCTTGGCCCACTTCGTTATCAACATCCTCGTCATTGCCTACTGCCTGTCCAGGGCCCGGGACTGGGCTTGGGAGAAGGTCAAGTTTTACATAGACGTGAAGAAGTTCCCTATCTCTATAGGCATCATCGTCTTTAGCTACACCTCACAGATTTTCCTCCCGTCCTTGGAAGGCAATATGCAGAAGCCTAAGGAGTTCCACTGCATGATGAACTGGACGCACATCGCGGCCTGCGTGCTCAAGGGTCTCTTTGCGCTCGTGGCCTACCTCACCTGGGCCGACGAGACTAAAGAGGTCATCACCGACAACCTGCCATCCACCATTCGTGCTGTGGTCAACATCTTCCTGGTGGCCAAGGCGCTGCTATCCTACCCGCTGCCATTCTTTGCTGCTGTGGAAGTGCTGGAGAAGTCCCTCTTCCAGGAAGGCAGCCGCACCTTCCTCCCCAACTGCTATGGGGGTGATGGACGGCTGAAACCCTGGGGGCTGACGCTACGCTGCACGCTGGTGGTGTTCACGCTGCTCATGGCCATTTATGTGCCGCATTTCGCGCTGCTCATGGGCCTCACTGGGAGCTTGACCGGTGCGGGCCTTTGCTTCCTGCTGCCCAGCCTCTTCCATCTCAAGCTGCTCTGGCGGAAGTTACTCTGGCACCACGTCTTCTTTGACGCGGCCATTTTCCTCATTGGCGGCATCTGCAGCGTGTCCGGGTTCGTGCACTCCCTGGAGGGGCTTATCGAGGCTTACCGAACCAATTCAGAAGACTAAACCCTGAAACAGCGGCAGAAAGGCTGGTGAACTGGCGGGCGTCCTCTTGGCAACTCCCCCTGTCCCATGGACACCTATACTGTTCCCAACCTTCTCGCTCTGGTCCCACGGGTTCCTTCGCTGCTCTCTTGCCCAGTTCCGTTCCATCCAGCCTAATCCAATCCCATTCTGCCAGGCCTCCCAGGCTCCATCTCTGCATCCTTTCCTATCCAAGTCCTTCCAGTCTTGGGATTGGGTTGCTAGGGTGAGTGGTCCAAAGACTGCCACACCCAGTCCAGACCCCACACCCCTATCGAATCGGTCCCATCCCATCCTCTCCAAGCCTCACCCAGTCCAGTCCAGCTGTTTGCATCTCCGTGACTCTCCCCATTCAATCCGGTCCATTTGAGGGTAGGCAGGATCTACATTGTCTATCCCGGCAGGTCTAGGCTTTTGGGCTGTGTCGCCATTGGCCAAGCTCTTATCCCATTCACTCCTCCCTCTCCTCCTCCCCCTTCCCATAGCCCTGACTTTTGGTTTAGTTTTTCGATCTAAGCTTTAAATTTCAATATCTATTTTCTTGTTTTTAGTTATGCAGGAGGGAAAGAGAATAATCCTAAATCAAAGCCTTTATTTGAATTTGGATTCATTTATTTATTTAAAAATAAAGCTGGGGGTTAGGTTGAGACGAGGCGTCAGAGGGCAGGGAAACCCGTGCGAATGTTTGAGGGATTTTCCTCCCACTAAAACCTCTTTCCTGGGATTAGCTCCAGCACCGGATCGCGGGGACTCTTTATGCAATGGACAAGGCCCAGGCTAGCCCTTCTGTGAGTCCCCTCCTCCCCCTACCCCGGCCCCGATCCCACCGCAGTGTGGGTGGGGTTCCTCCCAAGCGCATTTTGCACATTGTAGGCTATTCTAGGACAAGCAGCAAGTCACTGTAGGGGCGCCCAGGGAAGGAGAAACTGGCCAGGGACTCTGAGCTTTGATTGGGGATGGGGGATGGGAGGGGATTCCCAATCAACAAATATGCCCAGATGCTTCCACTTTTCCCCGTTGCCAGCAAGCCTCCCATTTCTGAGGACATTTTGCCTTCAGCTGAAAACACAAACTGGAATTTGTTTCTGTTACGTTTCATTCCTTTCTTTGGGGGGGGCAGGTGAACATAAACTGCAACTTGTTGGATTTCAGGAAACAAAACCCATCCCATTCTGTGCAACCTATCAGATTGTGGAGCTGTTCAAATGTGCGTGTGGTGTAATTGTGGTAAATGAGATGAAAATGTATATCAGAAAAAAATCTATCTTTAACATAAGATGTGGTTCATAGTTATATCCACAAATAAAGAGGAAACAATGACCCTGTGACTTGAGGTTTTTGTTTTTGTTTTGTTTTTGAGCCCAGCACCTGATTTCTTCATCACTATCTGGTGGGGCAGCCTGATCTTGCAGCTAGAAGAAAGTAAAGTGGGATCCACTTCAATTAAAAATTAATTCATTCGTTGTTCATTCAAGAAATATTTATTAAACACCTGCTTAGTTCAGGACAATATGCTTGGTCAACGAATGAACCATTTAGGTTATGACTGAAGGATCAAAAGGGAGATGTCTAGCTGGTCAATAGATAGAAATGGAGAAAGAGGTGAGCAGAAAGAAAATTGTCTTCTAGAAGAGGAGCTCCATGAGGGATTGTTTTACCTAAACCTGTCGTCCACCCCAGCACCTAGGCACGCTACTCCGTACACTTAAATGTTTGTTGACTGACTGAATGATTGAAGGCTCTTGTAGCCTTTGCAGAAACCCGTCAGGATTTGAAATTGCAGGCTAGATAATTTACTGTCACCCTTTTCCTCCCTAACTGCACTCACCCATTCCTGGGGCTATGTGTTGTAGTTGAAAGAATTCTGTATCTGGCAATTAGAGAAAAAAGCTGGGGGTTTGAATCCCGGCTCTCGAGTTACTGCCCAAATCATTTAATTTCTCCGTGTCTGTCTCCCTCTCTGTAAACTGAGAGGACTGGAATAGTTGACCTCTCTGTTCTCTTCTAGCTTTAAATATGATCTATGACACCGTCTACCACTAGCTCTTATTATATATGCATACGCTGAAACTCCTCCCCCGGGACCTTAGACGGGTGGCTAAAAGTTCTGAGGGCCGGGCCAGAATAGAAATAGCGAGTTTCTCTAATCCCACCCTCAGTCTATTTGGTCAAAAGGAAGAGGAGAGGATTTGATCTGTATAGAAAACCAATCCACATCTTTCTGATTAGAAATCTCCGCGCCCCACCCCACCCCCCTTTCTTTTTTCAGTTGCAGACTGCGGGTGGAGATAGGGAGCAGTTTGCTGGGTTTATCTAGATAATCAATCCACTTTTCTTTACCTGTGTAGACAGATTCAGAAACCCTACTCTTCGTCTCTGTTCTCTCCCCTTCTCAGCTCAACAGACCCAAGCTCCGCCCTCTCAAAACTTTAGAGGGAGTCTTGGCGTCACCGCCCTTGCCTAGAATAGACCTTTTTAGGTTTTTAAGACTTACAGTGACGGGCCCAGGGAGGGAGGGGGAACCCGAATGAGAAACAGATTGAAGGGTGGGCGCTAGGGCGACTCCGAGAGCTCGCTATGGCTCTCTGGCAAAGTGAAGATAGTCCGCCCATGGGGAGGCATTTTTTGAGTTGCTTTGGTGAATCCCCGCCCTCGTCGCTGGCCTGACTGTCGGCCCCGACTGCTTCGCTGCTTTGGTGCCTCATCTGAGAGGTTAGTTTGAAACGATTTCTTGGTCTTTTGTACTCACAGAAGATTCTAAAGAAATGAGTGAATCCCCATTCTCCCCTCCCAGTATGTCTCTGCTTCTGTTCCTATCTCTCTGGATTCAGTTAGACAGAGTACTTAGGGTTTGCTTTCAAGGAGCTTCCAATCTAATAGAGACGGGAAAGCTGTGCCCTCAATTAATTGGATACGAAGGAGAGTAGGGTAAGGGGAAAGGAAAGATCAGGGCCGAGTAATACAAGCATTTTGAAGATGGAGGAGTCTCTTTCATCTCTAGGGTTAGAGTGAATTCCTGGAAGGCTTCTAGAAAGAAATGGCACCTGAACCTTGAGGAAAAGAAACAGAAGGGGAGAGGGGGTCCACTCCAGGCAGTAGGGATAAGCGTTACGAAATGAAGAGCAAGAGATAAAAGAGTGAACAGGTCAAGAGATAAGAGATAGAGCAGTCCAGATTGGTTGTACAAAACGTTGTTGTACAATACTTGAAAGGAAAGAGTAGGAAAGAAATAGAACTGGACAGGTAAGTTGAATCTCGATTGTGAAGATCTATATGTCAAGATCAGGAATTTTAATTTTATTCGGTAGGCAATTGTTCTTTTTCTCCTCCATCTGTCTTACTCGTTTCTTATTCTTTCTCTCCTCTTGTTTCATAAATCTGTCTGATTGTCTGTCCTTTCTACCCTTCTGTCTGTCTCTCTGGCTCTCATCTCCTCTCTCGTTCTCTTGATTTCTCTTTCCCATTCTCGTTGCCTGTCTTTAATGTCCCCTGGTTCTAGGTCTTTCTTTCGGTGTCAGCCTCTAGTTCTCTGTCTCTCGTTCTTACTGTTCTCTGTTGTGAATATGGGGTGGGGTGCAATTTGTAGAGCTCTTAGCTGACCCAGAGAGTGGGTCACCTTGTTCTCTCTCTCTCTCTCTGTGTCCCCCCCCCCCCCGTCTGTCTGTGTGTGTCTCTGTCACTTTCTCTCTGTTGTCTCCAAGAAGTGCCTTTGAAGGACAGAGATGTGACTCTGTTCAGAGTCAAACCTAGGTTTGAGGTTTAGATCTAGCAATCTAAAGGAATAATAAAGATGATCGATTCTGGAACAAATAACTGGCTGCCTTCTCAAAAACACACAGCAGAGCTGGGCGGCAGCTTGTGCACGCTCCAGTTTTCTTTCAAGGTCAGTGGCCAGAGGGGGCGGGGATTTCTTCTGGAGGAGGGAGGCCAATGAACAATAGGCTGAGGTATAAAAAAGGCTTTTGGCCTTTCCTCTTGAAGCTCTCTCCCAGCATTCTGGTGAAAGAAACCTTGGATAGGGTAACCACCTGCAGGAGACAACATCCTTGCCTTTTTTTTTTTTTTTTTGTCTGTGCTGATAGATTCCCGCCTCCACCCTCCTCCCACGCACTCGCCTATCCCGCTGTCTGATTGGGGCTTTGGGATGCCCAAATCTCAGCACAGTCTGGGGTGAGGCCTCTTCGGAGAGTCCCAGATGTTCTGCAATGCAGTAATAAAGGCGGGGGTGGGCAGATACCAACCGAAGCGAGGGGTTGGAGGAAACCTAACAACCCAAAGACTACCCAGGATGCCATTCTTCTTTCATTCCTGCAACTTACAGATACATGGAAACCCACAGGCTCCTGGTTTAAGATTGGGAAAGAGCCCCTGAATTTGGGAACTGGGGGAGGGGAAATCGGAATTGAGTTGCACTGGACGGCATGGAAGGAGACTGCAGTCCGGAGAAGTCAGCCACAGGAGAGAGCAAAGATGACTCAGAGAGGGCCCAGTTCTAGGATAAAAATGAATGGGGACAACGGCGACAGAACCTCAAGAAGAGCCCTCCCTCACCTCTTTCTCCAACCTTATGCTGTGCTCATGCCCTTCTCAGCAAGGAGGGAATCTGTGGTAGCACCTTCCCTAGAGATCTCTTCCTGAAGGGTTCAGGACCAGCCATTCATGGGCTGGAGGAAGGACTGGACAGCACCAGAGAATCTCTGGAAGCCTTTTTTTCTTGCTTTCTTTTTTGGCTCTGTTTCACTCCCTTTACCCAATTAGGCCTTCCTACAGGACAGCTACTAAGTAGGGGAAGACGGTCAGGTTAAAATAAGTCAGCCCTTCATCTTGTACTCCTTCGTTTCTTTCTCTGGGAAGGAAAAACAATCTTGTAGAAGCCAGGCCTTTGCTTCTTTCCCAGCCCAGCCCTACAACACTGTCTTAGTCCCAGGCAGAAGGGTGCCTTCTTCCCAGGCTCCCCATCATGTTCTTCTGCCACTGCAGGAACATAAGGTACTCTCTGACCCAGCTCCCATAATACATTTCATGGCTAGATCACAGTTTTGCAAATTCTGGTGCATGCCTAACACCTTGAGTTCTCTTACCTCTTACCAGCAGAGCTGAGCTCCCTTGGGCGGAAGTCAGAGGGGGTAAGAGTTGTGAAGGTCCCTGGAACCTGGGCTTCTATCCACTCTCCTTCTCTCTCCCTCCTTTTTAACTGCCCATTGGAACCACGGGATAGAAGCCAATCAGTTTCTTGGTTTCCCAGGCAGGTGGGGAGAAGAACCTCAATTAAGAGGCCAAGTTTTTATTTTTGTTCACTTTGGAATTAAAATTTGCCAGATATTTGAGTGCTATACTTAGCTCTAGAAAGGACCTTTGAGAACATTTGGTATAATTCACTGTTGAAGGAGTGGCAGCTCAGAAAAATTTAATAACTTTTCCAGAGACATGGTGACTTAGTGACAGAGTAAAACTACAAACTAGGCCTCTTGCCTCCCAGTCCAGGCATCTTTGCATTACACCAAGCACTACTTCCTTGAGCAGAGAAACTTTCCTTCCCAAAGCAGACCTCCCCAGCTGGCTAGGGATCCTAAGCCTGTAGAGGAAACTAGCTGATTCGCTTGTCCTGAATGAAGTTAGGCTGGGAGCTGGAAGGAGAGGCGCCTGAATCTCATCTTCTTTCTAGATTGTACCATCCACACTGACTCTGACCCTGATTCTGAGCAGGACTGCTTCAGAAACCAGGCTGACCTTGGGGCTGCCAGTCAAGAATGCCCCCCCCTTTTTAAGAATAGCCCGTTTTTAAAAGGATGAAGAAAAAGACACAGATAGTAATCATAACTGTAAATGTGAATGAAATGAACTCTCCCATAAAACAGAAGCATATAGCAGATTTGATTAAAAACCATAATCCTACAATATGTTGTTTACAGGAAACACATTTGAAAAAGTGACACATACAGGGTAAAGGTAAAAGGCTGGAGCAAAATATATTATGCTTCAGCTGAAGTAAAAAAAGCAGGGGTAGCAATCCTGATCTCAGACAAAGAATAGCCCCTTTTTGAGAGCAGCTAAACTAGGAAGGTTCCTTTCCTCTTGCTCCCTACCTGACAGCTATGACCAAGGCTTCTGACTTGGGCCACCCCCCCAGGTCATGCCCTGTAACCTCTCCTTCTTGCCTACCCATACTGCCCAAATCTCTTGCAGGGAGGCTAGTTATTTACAAATTAATGGGATCCACCATTAGCAGGCTATTGAAATTGCAGCATAAGAAGTCCTAAAAGTCTTAACTAGAGTAGCATCCATAGAAATATAGAGAAAGTGCCAGATACAAGAAATTTTATTGATACAGCATTGACAAAACTTGGCGGCTGATTGAATATGTGATGTGAGAATGAAGAATTGAGGATAACTCTGACTTTGAGAACCTAAGTGAGAGGAATGATGGTGGTGCCTTTGATAGAAATAGAGAAATTCATTAGAACATTAAGGCAAAAGATGGGTTCTGTTTTGAAATACTGAGTTTAAGATTCCTATGGGACATCTAGTTGGAGAAGTCCAGCAGGCAGTTGCTGAGGTAGTTGGTTCTGTTATTTAAGGATGGATACAAAAATATGAGTCATTTGTATAAAGGTGTATGGTATTTAAATAGTGGACCTTTATAGCTAGAGATGATCATCATCTTTGGGATGGTAGAATAGAAACCTTATGGATAAGAACTGTCTTACTTTTTTTCCCCCTTAACATTTAGGCCCTGAAACATGATAATCAAACATTCATATGATAACCAGGATGATCAGACATGCTGCTGCCACTAGATAATACATACTTCCAATAGTAATGTCACTTTTCACTCTCTTTTCCCCTAAATGGTTGTTATGTTTATTAAAGATCTGACAACGTTTAAAAAAAAAAAACGGAATCCATTCAGAGCTAGGAGGGACCTTAAGGCAGCCTAACCTGCTTCTTTTACAAAGGAGGAAACTGGGGAGGTTAGAGGCTTGTAGATTTAGAGCTGGAAGAGCCAATCCTCCTGTTTCACTGCTGAGAAAGCAGGTCCAGGAAGCAGAAGGGACTTTTCACTCAGGTAGCAAGTTGCAGGGCCAAGATTTACACTCAGGGCTTCTGGATTGAAGTCCAGTGGTCTTTCCAGTGTCAGACAGTCAGGCTTCTGTCTTTCGGAGAGATGAAAAGGATCAGAAAATAATATGTTCTCTACCTTTTCCCTTTATCCCCTCTTTCTCCCCAGTCCTCTCTCTGCCCCTCTTCCCCCTGTACCCTTTCCCCGCCTCCTGCTCCAATGTAGCTTAGGATTCTCAAGCCCTGCCAGTTTCAGCGATACTTGTCCAGCTTCCCCAACCAGATTCTATAAGCAAAATATCCTTCTTACTCTTGGGGTATTTGCCACACCCATAAAACAGGTTATAATTTTCTACTTCCGGATTGTTCAGAGATTTTATGTGGCTAGAAGCAGAGAAATGACTACCTTGTCCAGAAAGAGTCAGGGAAGGGTTGAAACAGGCCAGGGACAAAGAAGATTAAAAAACAACAAAGAGTGGCTCCCTTTTTTTTTTTGGGTAGCATTTTAAAGTTTAGTAAAACGCTGTCATAACAACACTTTCATGGAGATAGGTAGCAAATATTATCTCTGTTTTACAGGTGAGAAACAGCTGATAAACATTTATCAAGATACCACAAAGTACCAGGCTGTGTTATGCACTGGTGGTACAAAAAGAGGCAAAAGACAGTCAGTTCCTGCCCTCAAGGAGCTCACAGTCTAATGAGGGAGACAAACAAAACAAATGTGTACAAACAGATTATATACAGGATAAATAAGAAATTAGTAACAGAGGAAAGGCACTAGAATAAAGAGGGGCTGGGAAAGACTTCCTGTAGAAGATGTGATTTTAGTTGGGATCTAAAGGAAACCAGGGAAGGCAGTAGTCAGAATCAGAAAGGAGAACATTCCAGGCATGGTGGACAGCCTGAGAAAATGCCAGAGCCAAGAGATGAAGTGTTTGAGGAGTAGCCAGGAGGCCAGTGTCACTGCATGGAAGAGGATGTGGTGAGGAATATAAAAAGAGTGGAAAGATAGGAGGTGGCTCGGTTATGAAGGATTTGTAATGCCAAACAAAGGATTTTGTATTTGATCCTGGAAGACAATTGGGAACCACTGTAGTTTATTGGGTGCTGGGGGGGAGGAAGGGAGGTAGGAGGGGGAATAACATGGGTGGACCTTGGATTTAGGAAAATCACTTTGGTGGCTAAATCGAGAATGAATTGGAGTGGGGAGTGGGGAGACTTGAGGCAGGCATACCCACCAGCAAGCTATTGCAGTAATCTAGGGATGATGTGTTGAGGGACTGCACCAGGGTGGTGGCAGATCACAAGAGAGAAGGCAGCCTCCTGGACAGAGATGTTGAAAAGATGAAATGTATAGACTTTAGCAATAAATTGGATATGGAAGGTAAAGGGATAGTAAAGAGTTGAGGATGACATCTGGATTGCAAGCCCTTGAAAGTCACAGGAAAGGGTTTAGGTGGAAAAATAATGAGTTTGGTATCAGACATGTTGAGGTTAAGATATCTACTGTTTCTCCAGTTCAAGATGACTGAAAGGCTGTTGGAGATTAGAGGTCACAGAGAGACTGGGGCACTGAGAATCAGTGTCCAGCCAGCCATTAAATGTTGGTGCCAGAACCCAGTTCACACAGGAGATTCTCTTTTAGCTGTCAGTAGATTGATTGCCTGTCTAGGTGTTGAGATAAATTCAACAAACACTGATTAAGTGCCTACTACAAATGTATGGTTGTATGCTATTTCCTGGGATACAAAGACGAAAAAAAAATCTAATTAAAATTCATTACCATATTTTACTTAATTATCTCACAGATGAATCTAGCATCAACTTCTTAAAAGGGCAGATCCAATTGATAGGCACATTACCTTACATTCATTTCTTCATTCACTTACTCATTTAAAAAAAATTATTAAGCACTTTATATGTGCAATGTATTGTTGAGCTAGGAATCTGGAAACCTGAATTTTAATCTAGACTCTGATTTGCTGTGTGACCTTGGGTTAGCACCTTCCCCTCTCTGGATCTTAATGCCCTCTTTTGCAAAATATCAGATCATTCTTTAAAGTCCCTTCCATCTTTGGCGTTATGATAATATGCTAATATGGCCTTTGGCAAGTGTCCCGAAGTCTGGACTGTTGCCCATAGTGATTAATCCCCAGGGCCACTGGTTGTGAGTCTGTACAGTTGCAGAAGTCTCTTCATCCACCTCTTTGCTTTGATTCCACAAGAATCAACATTAGAGGCCTCAAAAGTACTATTTGGAGGGAGACAGGAAGCAATACAGCCTTTAGATAGACGTGGCCATTCTTATCTCCAAGAATCTCACAATTTAATTTCGAAAAGGGTCTTAGTAGGGCTTCCACAGCTATACAGAGTATCAGCATTTATATCAATCAATCCACAAGCATTTATTAAATCCTACAAGAGCTAGTCATACAAAAAAAGATGAAATAGTCCCTACCCTCAAGGAACTCACATTTTATAGCAGGAAACAACATGTATGCATATAAGTAAATACAAAATAAATACAAAGTGCTGAGGGATCAGTAAAGGTCTTATGTGAGAGGGTGGCACTTGAGCTGGGAAAGGAGGGAATGCATCGTAAGTATGAAGGACACTCTAGAAATTAGGAGAGCTGGGTGGGTTCAAATCACAGCTCCTAGTCATGCTATCGCTATCACTTCAGACAATAATAAGAGTTACTATATTATCTCAGTTGATCCTCACAACATCTCTTCCGAGTTGTTGTTGTGTCCTGTCTGACTTTTTCTGACCCCAATTGGGGTTTTCTTGGCAAAGATATTGGAGTGGTTTGCCATTTGCTTCTCCAGCTCATTTTACAGATGAGGAAACTGAGGCAAACAGTGACTTGCCCAGGGTCCCACTGCTAGTGGCTGAGGTTAGATTTGGACTCAGGAAGATGAGTCACTCCAGGCTGGGCACCACTTCAACACCTAGCTTCTTTGAGGTAAGTGCTATAATCATGCCCCTTTTATAGATAGGAAACTGATGGTGAGAGAAATTAAGTGACTTCCCTAGTTACATAGCTAGTGTTTGAAGCAGGATTCCCTTTCAGCTTCCAAACCTAACTACACCCCTAATCACTTTAACCTCTGAGTCCCTCTCCACAGCTGCAAAATGGGGTCAGTGATCCTAGCACTACCTTCTTTACCAGGGCATTGTGAGGAAAAACCATTTTACAATTGTCAGTTGCTTCTGTAATATTTAGGCATTTGGTGAGAAGGTTTTTGAAATCCTTTTGCTCAGCAGTAGTTCTAAGTGGAGGGAATGTTTTGTAGTCCCCAGCTCATACAACCCACTGACCTTCACCTTTGCTCCCTGGAATCTTCAGAGTGGCACCCTAAGCATGGGAGCTTCCCCTCAACTCCAGCTACAAAGAAAGGTCATGTGGCTACAACCATGAGCCCATGATTGCTGCTGAGGGAAAGGAGGGGTCCAGACCTACCAGGGAGGAAGACATATGACAACTGACCTCCCTTACCTCCACCCCTTACCCAACTGTAGGACTTCCTTTCACTCAGAAAAGTGGTGAAAAAAACGAACTCGAGTCAAATCTCCAGTTTAACACCAGGTCCCTTTGAGAGTTTGGAAGTTGTTGCCTCATCTGTGAAGAATATTCAGCAAACTCTGTATTGTTAGAATATCCTGGTCTTAGGCTCACAGGGAAACTGTGTGTGTGTGTGTGTGTGTGTGTGTGTGTGTTGGGGAAAAAGTGGGATTAATTGAATTAGATTTGGAAGGAGCAGAACCTGGAAAAGACACCCCCCCCCACCACTGTAAAATAAGAGGAGAGATTAGATAATTTCCAGCATTGAGGTTTGTACATCCTCAGCAAGGTTTGAAAGTTGTGCCCTCCCTGTATTTGAAAATTTGATTAGCACCTTCTCTTTAATAAAGGAGACTTGACTTTTCACAAAATCAATTTCTGAGTCCTGGGGAACAATAGTGTCTGGAAAAAAGTCACTAAAAAGTGTACCTGTTTCTGTCCTCTTGAATTTCCTTCTTTATAAAATAGGGATAATAAAGACTTGCATTATAATTATATATAACAAGGAATAGCATGCACCTTACATAGGATGTAAAGTATTTTCCAGAGTCTTACTCACCTGAGCACATAGGCTTTCAGTGGAGTTATGGGGAGCAAAAAAAGAGCCCAGAAAAAAACTGAAAAAAAAAAAAAGATATATTTAGGAAAATGCATGAAATATACAAAAAAGCCACCTAGTGGGGGATGTATGGAATAACTCATAACGAAGAGAAAAGTCTCAACAGACACCAAAACAGTACAAAACAGTGCACAATATCAGTTAACACTAAAGTAAATTAGAAATTTGTTAAATCTCATAGGTGCCACTGAGAGGTAATGAGGTAGCACTCAAGATTGCAACATACAATTCAGAGGTATGTTTTATTCAAAAGAAACAGATCAACCAAGCTCTTTTTATAATTCATAATAATAATATAATTATAATCGATTAAGCCCTTGTTATATACCAGACATTATTAGGGGCTGGGGATACAAATACAATAAATGAAATCCCTACTCAAAAGAAGCTTACAGAGATCAGAGAGAAGCAGCTTTGGAAGGAACAGAACTGTATGGATTCAATTCACTGCAACTCAATAAACACAAGCTACATATATAGAGATAAAATGACGGATTGATAGAGGAATATACTACCGTTCACTCAACTAAATGGAGGGTGGCAAGTCACTTAACCTTAGTTTCCCCATTAGCAAAATGAAGTGATTCTCTGAATAGAAGACTTTGTCAGTTCCCTTCCAGCTCTAAGTCTATGAGTATGAGTTATGAACTATGTGATTTCTTGATGACAAACACAAAAATGGCACAAAGCCAGACTACAGTATTGACAGGAGACTAGCTCTCTTAACATATGGTGGAGATGTCTCTGCTAAAAAAAAATAGCATCTGACACATTTCTGAATGGTGTTTGTTGATCATTTCAAAAAGGTACATCGAGTAAGGAGGGGAACCAATCCTTTAAGATTGATAGAATCACAAACCCTGTGAGGCCACCTAGTTTAACCCTACCTGAAGCATAAATCTCTACATTAGAACTTCTTTGACAAATGATCATTCAGCATTTTTGATTTCCCTTTTCAAAGGAAGCTCAATCCATTAATGGGCAGTACTACTTGTTAGAAACTTATTCTTTGATAAACATAATGGTGCAACGGGAAAGAGCCTTGAATTCTAATACTTGCTATCTGATCTTGGATAAAGTTACTCCCTCTCATTTTAAGGAAAACTGAGGTGCAGAGAGGGAAACTGATTTGACCAAGGCAACCAACTAGTAAGTAACAGAACTTGAATCAGGTTGTCTGACTTAAATTTAAAGCATCTGAGACTAAGCATGAAAAAATTCAGATCTTCATCAAGATGTTTTGACCACAGTGAGCTAAACATATGAGTGTCTAGCTGATAGGTTGACTCTTTCATATCTGGATGAAATGAAATAAAGATATGAAAAGAACTTTGTAATTCTTAAAACACTGTAACAATATAAATGCTAGCTATGATGATGATGATGGGGTTTGAGTCTGAGGAAAGCAGGCAAAAAGTCATTCAATTCAACCCTAAAATGGAAGTTTCATTTCCCCAAAATCCATGGGAAAAAAAAAAGCCAAATCCAAGTTCTGTCCATCCTGCTTGAATTCTGATATATGAGGATTATGAGCCTCTATCGATTTTTAAAAAATTCAATTCCACCCAAAAAACATTAATTAAGCACCTACTATGTGCCATGCACTGCGCTAAGTGCTGGGCATACCAAACAGTCAAAAGGCAGTTCCTGCCCTGGAGAAGCTTACGGAGGAGAGAAGTGCGTGCACGCACACACACACACACACACACACACACCCCAAGCCATCTACAGGAGATATAGGAAATAAGGCACTGGAAATAAGAAAGGCTGGGGAAGGTTTCCTGAAGAAGGTGAAGTTTTAGTTGGGACTTAAGGAAGCCCGGGAGATCAGTAACTAGAGCAGAGAAGGGAGAGCGTTCCAGGCATGGCAGACAGCCAGAGAAAATGCCCGGAGCCGAGAAGGTGGAGTGTCTTGTGCATGGAACAGCCCAGAGGCCAGTGTCACTGGACGGAGGAGTAAAGTGTCGGGTGCGGCACACTGGGAAAGCAGTGCAGAGTAGTGGCTAGAGCGCCGCAACACTTCTACGAGGCGTAAAGCGCCTCTCGCCCCCTAGTGGAGCTGGTTTCAATAAGCAAAAGACAGGCGGCGTTCTTACTCCAATGGCGGGCCGTGGAGTACGCAGCCGCAGTTGCGCTTCAAACACCCCGAGACCGGAACGTCTGCGCTGGGGCTGAGGTGGCCGTAGCGCCAGAGGAAAGGAAAAGCAACGGCCCCCGACGCCGCCGGATCGTTTCAAGATGGCGGCGGCCGCTAATGTCTACGCTTTCCGGGACGGTCGCACGGTGCCGGACCCGGTGCTGGAGCCTCCCCCAGCCGTGCGAGTGCCGCACCCGGTACCGCTGGTGATAGACAACGGCTCGTTCCAAGCGCGCGTGGGCTGGGCGTGCCCGGGGGCCGAGCCCGATCCGCGCCTGTTGTTCCGCTCCGTATGTGCGCGCAGCCGCGGGGCCGCGCGCGGCGGGGGCGCGCAGGTGGGCAACGACCTGGGCAGCCTGGAGCCGCTGCGCTGGCTGCTCCGCTCGCCCTTCGACCGCAACGTGCCCGTCAACCTGGAGCTGCAGGAGCTGCTGCTCGACTACAGCTTCCAGCGCCTTGGCGTCGCCTCACAGGTGAGGGGCCTTGCCGCCGACCCCGGGGAACCCTCTGACTCCTCCCCCTCACACCCCTCCGCCTCCTCCCCCCCCCCCAGCCTTCTGGCTCCTCCCCCTCCTCTTGAGCTCCTCCCCCTCCCAGAGGTTTTTGGCTCCTCCCCCTCACACAGCCCTCAGGTTCCTCCCTGCTCCATCCTCTTTGCTCTCCTACCAACCTTTTGCTGCTCCCATATCCTCCTCCTCTCCTCTCTTCCTTTTTGCCCCCCCATCCTCGATCTTTTCACTTAACTTTAGCTTCTTGACTCCTCACACACCCCTCATTCTCCCTCCTTCATAGCCCCTTATTCCATCTTCAGTTCCTCCTCGCACTCTATTATTCCCCTTCTTTTACTACCTTTTCCTCCTCTGGCAGCCTCGATCCCTATCCTCTTTATGCCCCCCATATCTTACCTCCTCACCTCCCCTTTATGCCCCACTTTGTCCCGCTTCTTACCCCTATACTTCCCTTTTATGCCTCGCAGACCCTCCCTAACTGCCCCTTTGTGCCTCTCTCATTCACCCTCCGTGCCCTTGCACCCCCTCATTGTCCTTTGCAGATATGCTCCTCTTCCTGCCCCTCCTCTTCTCCCTACCGTGTACCAGTCGGACTGAGCCCCCTCATTCTTCATAATCCTTATCCCTCTCTTCACCCATAACCCACACTACTGTCACTTCATCTTGCCTCATTACTCCCTCATCATTCTTTTTACGGATTCCCTCAATTCATTCTTCCTCTTATATCTCCACTTCTTTATTCTCCCCTTTATGCCCTTCTATTGTCCTCACATTCTTATTATATCTCAGCCTCTTTTTTATCCTTACTTTCCAGCAGTTTTCTTGTCATCTCACATTTTCTTCTCTCCATTCAGTTCTGCAGATACCTATTCAGTAAGCACCTATTTTGTGTTGAGCACTGTTCTGGGCAAGATTGTAGGGATTTAAAGACTTCGTGGAGAGAAAGTGGCATTGGAGTTGGTTTTAAAATATGGGTAGGAGTTCAGCTAGGTGGCAGAGTGGATAGAGCACAGGACCTGGAGTCAGGAAGACTCATCTTCCTGAGTTCAAATCTTGCCTCATACACTTAACTAGCATTGTGACCCTGGGCAAGTCATTTACCCTTGTTTGCCTCAGTTTCCTCATCTGTAAAATGAGCTACAGAAGGAAATGGCAAACCACTCCACTATCTTTGCCAAGAAAACTCTAAATGGGGCCACAAAGAGTCAGACACAATTGAAGTGACTGAACAAGGAATTCACAGATACAGAGAAGAAGGGAGAAACATGCCAACCATAGAGGTATGGGAATGGGAAAATGAAGTTTTGTAGAATAATCCAGTGGGGCAGGATTATAGCATGTAGGAATGAATCAATTAATGAAAAAGCATTTGTTAAGTGCTTATTATGTGGAAAGAGCTGTGTTAAATGCTGGCAAATTAAAATTCAAAAGGGACAGCAGATTTATCTCTTTTTTTTTTACTCTTTTATCCTATCTTGACATGACTATTCTGTCACCCTTTTTGAGGACAGAGATGGTTTTACTAGTGCTTTGCACACAGTAAGTGCTTAATGTTTTTTCATTAATTCATTCATTCCATTCACACTGTAGTCCGGTTGTGAAGGAACTGAAATATCAGTTCAAGCTTTACTCTTTAGGCAGCCTCTAAAAATTTGGGGGCCATTAAGAGTGGAATGACCAGAATTAAGTGAAGAAAGATTATTCTTTTTTTGGGGGGGGGGGAGTAGGCAGTGGGGTTAAGTGACTTGCCCAGGTTCACACAACCAGTAAGTGTTATGTGTCTGAGGCTGGATTTGAACTAAGGTCCTCCTGACTCCAGGGGCTGCTCCTCTATCCACTGTGCCACCTAGCTGCCCCAAGAAAGATTATTCTAACACCAGTATAAATAGAATAGATTAGACTAGGGAAGAGAGTAAAGGAAAGGCCATAGAAAGTCCATTATATTTGTTCAAGTGGATGGTAATGAGGGCCTGAATAGTATGGTGGCCCTGGGAATAAAAAGGAGACTGAATGAAGAGATATTTCAGAGGTGGAATTGATGTATATGGTGACTGATTGGATATGACAGTTGAAGGAGAGGTAAAGTCAAAGATAACCCCAGTGTCGTGAATAAGGAATATTGAGTGAATGCCCAGAACAATATCAGAACTATTGTATATTCAGAAGGAGAAACAAGTTTAGGGGAAAAGATAATAAACTTGCTTTTTTTTTTAAATAAGATTTTTTTAAAGTATGTATTTTTTATTTTGCCCTCCAATTACATGCTAAAACAATTTTTAAACTTTTTTTTAAAGTTTTGAGTTCCAAATTCTATCCCTCCCTTCCTCCCCTCCCCCTTCCCTGAGACAGTAAGTAATCAATCAGATGTAGGTTATACATGTGCAATTATGTAAAACGTCTCCATATTAGTCATTTTATATGAGAAGATTAGAATAAAAGAAAGAAAGTAAAAAATAGCATGCTTCGTCTATGTTCAAACAGTATCAGTTCTTTCTCTGGAGGCAGATAGTATGCTTCATCATTAGCCCTTTGGGATTGTCTTGGATCATTGTATTGCTGAGAATAGCTAAGTCATTCACAGTTCTTCATCAAACAGTATTGCTGTTATTGTGTACAGCGTTCTCCTGGTTCTGTTCACTTCACTTTATATCAGTTCATGTAAGTCTTTCCAGGTTTTTCTGAAATCATCCTGCTTGTTATTTCTTATAGCACAGTAATATTCCATTACAATCATATGCCACAGCTTGTTTACCCATAAAATAAGATTTTTTTAATGCTAAGAATCTTTTTTCTTGCCCTTTTATATACATATATATATATATATTTATAATCCATAAAACAAAATTTCTGCATTGTCCATGTCCAAAAATATGTCTTGATCGGCATTCTGACCATCTCTCAGGAGGTGGATAACATGCTCCATTATTGATCTTCTGGACTCAGAGTTAGTCGTGTTGATCAGAGCTCTTAAGTCTTTCAACATTGTTTTTGCAGTGTTGTTGTATTGTTTAAATTGTTCTGATTTTGCTCACTGCCCCCTGTCTCATTTCATTCAAGGGTTCCCAGATTTCACTAAAATCATTCCTTTTAATAATTTCTTTACATTATATTAGTATATAATTTGTTCAGCTATTCTCCAGCTAATAGCCACCTCTTAGTTTCCAGTTCTTCACCACTGCAAAAAGAGGCACTATAAATATTTTTGTATATATGGGTCCTTTTCTTCTTTCTTTGATCTCTTTTGCATCAGGATAGGAGTGCTGTTATTGCTGGGTCAGGGAATATGCACAGTTTAGTAACTTTTGGGACGTCGTTACATATTCCTTTCCAAAATGGCTAGATCAATTCACATCTTGCTGATAATGCATTAGTGTACCTGTTTTCCCTAAGTCTCTCAAACGATTGTAATTTTCTTTTCTTGTCAACTTTGCCAATCTTATGAGAGTGAGGTGGATGCCATATGCCTTTGAGGCCTTTCACCTTCCCGCTCACTGTACTTCTGGTAGGGCTGCTGGTTCTCATGTAGTACACAAAATATAGGAAACTAAAATAACTTTAAAAAGTATAGAATATGGTCTCAAATTGAATTATAACTTTGCACAATATGAATATGTAACTTGTGTTGTTTGGAAATGAATGGTTTCGAATTGACAGGGAGAGGCCTTACTAAATTGGTTTGATTCAAACTTAAAGCCAATATAACAGTTAAAGAATTTAATTTCTGTTTTTTAAAAACTATTAATTATCTTTTATTATCACTTTTATTCTTCATTTCTACATAGGGCTGTGTTGATCATCCAATAGTTTTAACAGAAGCTGTTTGCAATCCACTATATTCAAGACAGATGATGTCAGAGCTCCTTTTCGAATGCTATGGGATTCCCAAAGTTTCTTATGGAATCGACAGCCTCTACAGTTTCTACCACAATAAAAGAAAAAACTCAATTTCCAGTGGCCTAATTATTTCATCTGGATACCAGTGTACTCATATTTTACCAGTCTTAAAAGGAAGGTGAGTTATACTTGTCACATTTGAATGACTTGTAAAAAATTCTGAAAAGAGGAAAGCAGTGTACTATAGCAGAAAGAATATTGAAGTTGGCTTATTTGCTTATGTAGACTTCTTTGTAAGCAACTAATATTTTTAAAGAAAATACATGAATAAAATATTTAAAGGGGAAAAGTATTGGACTGGGAATCAGGAGACACAGGTATTAGTCTCAATACTGTCACTAGATCTTGGGCAGGTCATTGAATGTTTCTGGACCTCATTTATTTACCTTGTATAAAAAATGAAGAGAGTTAGACTACATGACCCTTGCAGTGATAAAACTTGATGATCCCAGAATTATAATATCTTCGTGCTTTAGAACTAGGTTTTTAATTTACTATATAGAGTTTACAGTATTCTTTAGTTAACACAGATTGGGTTATTTATATATTAGAGAAGCTTCAATTAATCTGCTCTTTTCTCTTGGCCTGATAAGATGATCATGGCAGTTTTTTTCCTACCTAGGTAGATGGCTTTTATTAATCCTTGTGCATATTTACATGAAG